TACCGTTCATGACTTAATTAATCAAATTTCTAACAAAATCCTTTAGAACTATATGGTAATAATTCTACTTTTAACAAAAACCTTTAAAGTTGACTTACCAAATTAGTCATAATGAAAAAATAAATGAGAATTATACCTGGGAGATCCCATGGTTCACACTTATTGAGATCTACATCTGCAATCGCCCTCGCGCTGAATTTAGACTCAGAAATCTTCTCAGTCAAATAGTATGTTATCAGCTCTTCATCGGTAGGATGAAATCGAAACCCTGGTGGCAATTTCTCAGCTTCTTTATTTGCTCCTTCCATCTTTTCTCCTTCCCCCTTCAAAATTTTTCAAACTCAATAATATGAACCCTAACCCTAATCAATATTCAAGCTTGTAATAACAAACTTGTGAGCACAACTAACCTATAGGAAGGGAATTAGCATGCATGAGAAAGAAACAAAGTATGGTAACCAAAGAGAGATATATAGCTATAAGTAGGGAGGTTGAACACAAGATTGGAGTTTAGAGAGATGAACACGGCATGTCTTTGGGTATTGTTTAATTTCTAGGTGAAGCTACGGGTGTTTCTTCTGAGCAGTTCTGCATGAAGGATTGAGATTTAAGATGTTGTGTGTAGGGAGAATGAGTGTTGGTGAAGCTTAGACCTACTAAGGGTCTTCATTCACAAGATGCTTAATGACTTCATGTTTTGGACTTAATTGGATATTGTAATAAGATAAGACTGCATCCTGATATTGTCCCCTTTCCTCTTGCGCATTGTAATTTACATCTTCACCCATACGTTAAATTCCTTTTAAGATGCATTCAAATTGTCACCAAGGGTATCAAAATATTATTGATCACATGTTGCTGAGGACATTTCCTACTTGTTCGCTTAAACTAAAAATTAATGCTATTTTCGATATTAATTTATATTTATATGCAGAATATTAGCTGCTTTCATAGTTTACTTAAAATTAGTGCTTAAAATAGTACCCATGTGATTTAAGTGCACTTGTACGCATATATGCGTACATATATATATATACATATCAATATATCATTGTTGTTAGTTTTTAGTTTCTTGCCTCTAAATTACAATGATAATTGTGACAAATTTGCCCTCATGATTTGTATGTTACCAAAATGCTAATAAATCATATGGTTTCCGCAACATAAATTAACTATTCATGGATTTACTATAATTAACTTGAGAGGAATTAAATCACAATTAGAAGCTTCTCATAAATGGAGTTATTCCTCTCCTACGACTAAATGATAGGGAAAAAAGGATATAATTAATTCAGGCGGCATGTGAACAAAAAAAATCTAAACACGAAAAGCTAGAAATAATTGCATAATGGGTACTTTTGGCAATTTGGTATTTGTACAAAGAGACTACACGAGAGACGAAATGAAAGAAGGGCTACAACAACCCAGTCACGTAAACCACGTAGACATAGGGAGGGTCATCAGCAAGACACGTGCGCTGGAGCCCACAAATCCTCCTCAATTGCAGCTGGTGGAGTCCAATCACTATCCTCCACGTCACCTATGGACCTAATGTGGACCCTCCCCCTTTGACTAGGAAGCAGTCGGTCAGGTGAGCGGGATCAGGGTCCCCTATAAAGCAAACCATTCTATTCTCTACGTGCTCAAATTAGGGTTTTGTGGGGCTAAAAATCTTAATATTTCCTCTCTTTTTTCCTTCTTAATTTAGTGTTTAATTTTTGTCTTTATTAATTATTTTTGATTTTATTTGAAGACACTGATAGTCGAATGGATTTGATTATCTTCTGTCACATGCTAAGATTCACTATATATTGTTTTCTTCTTACGACTAAAAATTTGTCTTTATGTATGAAACATATATATACTAGTTAACCTATAAAGTACAAGTTATAGATATTTTTAGGATTCCATTTGTCTCAGGAATACATATCAAGCTAATGTAGAAGTGGAATTGTCACTGCAGGTTAGTTTACACTTGGTACGTAGCTTGTTACACTTCAAGTTAGTCAAAATAGTGGGCTAGAAAATTTTGTTATGGTTTCTGTATTTAACAACCTCCCTAATATGTTCTTTCTTTGAAGAAAATTTGTGCAGGTCTAACACTTTACGTTGAACAATATTTGATGATTGATTTGTAGTTATGTGGTTCAGTTATTTTTTAATCTCGGATTATCGATAATGTTTGCTTCAAGAAATAAGGTCTTGAGACATCAATAAAAAAAACTTGATATTATTCAATCAGAATGTCATTTAATTTTCAGACGTGACATATTTGATACTTAAGTATAAGTTCTACATAGACTGAAGAATGGAAGGAAGGAGAGAGTTTTTGGAAACATGCTTTGATTGGATATGTTATTGGTTTAAATGTAAAGTTTAAAGCTATGGAATCTTATGTGAATAAGATTTGGGGGAAAATTTCTATTCCAAGAATTCATCTAATCAAGCAAGGTGTTTTCCTGTTTGACTTTCAATCAGTTAAACATATGCAAGAAGTTCTAGAAGCTGGTCATTGGTTTTTTTGGTTCTAGGCCTTTGGTCCTTAAACCTTGGACTATCGATACTGATATGGACAAATTTTAAGCTTGGAACTATCCAATGTGGGTTCAATTTTCAAATCTAAAATTAAATCTATGGACTTCAAATGGACTAAGTAAAATTACAAGTGTAATTGGTAACCCAATCACAAAAAGATTGAGCTATGCAAGGGTTCTTCTGGAAATTGATCTACCCTTGAAAAAGGAATTACCTTATCTCATTGAAGTGTAGGGACCTGATGGAAAAAGCTATAATCAAAAAGTTATATATGAGGTCAAGCCAAAATGGTGCTCTTATTGTAGCTTGGTTGGTCATGAAGCTGAGCATTGCAGAAGACAAACTTTTAAAATGAAATAGTTGCCTGTCAATAGACAAAAAGTTTCTATACAAGTTTCAAAACCTGACAAAGGTGTTTTTAAAGGAAATGTTGAAATAGGAGATAATACTGGTCAGATTGGGAAAGATTTAAGAAGTAATCAATCTGGAGAGGATGTTTTTGTTCATCATAACATAGAGCAGCAAATTGGCATCATTATTGATCAATCTGGGCAAAAGTCTGAAAAACATGCACAAGAGGAGAATACTAATAGATTTGGGAAAATACAACACTTCTAAATCAATATGAAGAAGGTCCTCAATCATTTCAAAGATATGCTCACCAACCAGATAAGGGTATCACTTCTAAATCAATATGAAGAAGGTCCTCAATCATTTCAAAGATATGCTCACCAACCAGATAAGGGTATCTTCATTGGACAATCCAGTAATATAACATCAATCATTTCAAAGATATGCTCACCAACCAGATAAGGGTATCTTCATTGGACAATCCAGTAATATAACATCAGGGTTTGATAAACATGCACATCAGAGTGCGGGAAACAGTAACAGCAAATATGCAAATCCTTTTCATAGCTCTCCTGATATAAATGCAACAGGCTTCACAAGTGTCACAAGATCAAAAGCAAGAAAAAGGTTCAATGACATAAATGTTGGGGTTTCTTGCTTTCAAAACTCCCAATTCTCTATTCTGGAATAGCAGCTAGACATTGACCCCTCTTGTATTGATAGGGGGAGTTTATTCACAATAATGCATTTGGCATTTTGGAATATCAGAGGGTTTAACAAATCCTCTAAGCACTTGATAGTCAAGCATTTTATAAAAGAATACAAGCTCTCTTTCCTAGCTCTCTTAGAAACCAAAGTTGAGGGTAATAATATGCAATCCATTGCTAAGAAAGTGGCAAAGAACTGGGCATTCATTCCTGAAGCAAGAAATGGAAGGATTTGGATTCTCTAGGACAATGAATTTCTCTCTGTTCAAGTCTTGTTTTCCTCCAAGCAACACATCACATGCACTGTTGAATCAAGAGATGGTAAGCTTTCTTGTAAAATCACAGTAGTATATGCTTTAAACCAAATGGATGAAAGGAAAGTTCTATGGCAAGAATTGTTAACTTTTAACCAAGATAGCCCTTAGTTAGTTGGTAGAGACTTCAATACTATTTTGAATAATGAAGAGAATTTGGGTGGTGCACCAGTATCTGGCATAGATACCCTTGATTTTCAAAACTTTATCAATTCTAGTAATCTAGTTCATCTCAAGACAACATGAAGTTTCTATACCTGGTGCAATAAGCAAGAGGCTGAAGCAAGGATCTGGTCTAGACTTGATAGGGTTTTGGTTAATGATGACTGGTTACATAATTACACTTCCAGTCAAGTTGAATTTTTAGTGCCTAGTTGTTTTGACCATTCCCCTGCACTAATAACTATTGGAGAAGACAATTTTGATGGTAAAAGGCCTTTTAGATTCTTCAATATGTGGATCAATCACCCTGATTTTCTTCCAACTGTTAAATCTGTTTGGGAGCAAAATATTAGGGGATATAATATGTATAAGTTTCACACCAAGCTTAAGTCCCTAAAACCTATTCTAAAAGAACTCAATAAGAAGCACTTCATGAACATTAGTGAGCAAGTTATTAGAGCTAAAGAGGAATTATCTGACATTCAGAGACAAATGGGTGCTAATCTTCTCAACTCTAACCTAATTGCCAGAGAAAAGGAAAGTATTAAAAAGTATATCGGATTGCTGAACTGTGAAAATTCCTTTTACAAGCAAAAGGCAAATATGTCTTGGAGCTTGCATGGTGACAAATGCACTCAGTTCTTCCACTCAGTCATGAAAAATAAAAGGCATCATAACAAGGTATTGTCAATATACACTGAGGATGAAAACAGAATTACTAAAATGCCTGACATCATAAAGGAATTTACTGATTATTACAAGAGGCTTTTGGGCACTGCCATCACTGTTGCAAAACCTGATTTAGGAGTTATTTCTAATGGTCGTACTCTATCTCCTGCTCAAAGTATCACTCTCAGTCTTCTTATTAGTAGAGAAGAAATCAAGCATGCTGTGTTCTCAATGTCTGAAACAAAAGCACTAGGTCCAGATGGGTACAATGCTGCCTTTTTCAAATCAGCTTGGGACATTATCAATGGTGATCTTTATCTTGTTGTGGAGGAATTCTTCAACTCAGGAAAGCTTCTTGGTAATTTTAACTCCACAACTACCACTTTAATTCTTAAAATTGTGAACCCAAAAACTGCTTCAGATTACCGTCCTATCTCTTGTTGCAATCTGATTTACAAAGTCATATCAAAAATTTTAGCTGGGAGAGTGCAGAGTGTCATGGGCTATCTTAGTAATGATGCACAAAGTGCATTTGTCAAGGGGCGACTTATCTCTAGCAATATTCTTTTAGCTCATGAGCTAGTAAAAAATTATGGTAGAAAACATACTACTCCTAGAGCTATATTAAATGTGGATTTGAGGAAGGCATTTGACTCTATTAGCTGGGATTTCATCAAAGCTATGTTGGAGGGTTTGAAATTTCCTAGTATCATGATAACCTAGATTATGGAATGCATTTCATCCCCTAAGTATTCTCTTGCACTTAATGGATCTATGCATGGATATTTTAAAGGTGAGAGGGGGTTAAGACAAGGAGATCCTCTTT